GGAAAGTCATTAATCTATTCCACGAAATGAAATTTAAGTTCCCAAACCTGTCAGGTAAGATAATGGTAGCACAAACCTGTTGTACCTCCGTATCAAAAGGCGGGAGATGTTGAACAATGAGGGGAAAATGTCACACTCTCAACTGGGGGGGTCCTTGTGACTCCCCGAGCTTGGTTGTTTTCTTGCAGACGTCTAAATATCCAACTAGGGAACATCATCAGTACTGATGGTGACACTTAGAAGATTGAGAGCCGAGGTGGCACAGTGGTTAAATGCAGCACTGCAGGCTACTTCAGCTGACTGCAGTTCTGCAGGTCGGCTGTTCAAATCTCACCGGCTCAGGGTTGACTCAGCCTTCCATCCTTCCGAGGTGGGTAAAATGAGGACCCGGATTGTTGTTGGGGGCAATACGCTGACTCTGCAAACTGCTTAGAGAGGGCTGAAAGCCCTATGAAGCGGTATATAAGTCTAACTGCTATTGCTATTGCTAACTAAGTCAGCCAATGGCAGCTTAAACAGATCTGAGTCTGTGCAGAGAACTGAAACGGAAACTAAAGCAGTGTGCTGCTCTGAGAAGTAAACTAGCAGTCTTGTCTGGGCTTATCTGCTGATATGAAATCTACTGCTGGTGTTTGCCTGTAACTCTCCTGCCTTGTGCTTACTTAGAAGAACCACCTGTTGGTATGGTACATTTATTCATCTGTTCTTATGTATATAAAGAAGTTAACGAATCCCGCTGCATCAGTTATCTCTCTCTGTGTTTTCTGGATTTGAATTTATGCAACGAACTCTGACATAATGTAATTATTTAGAGAAGGGTGAACAGACGTTAACAAGCAAAAGTATTTCTAATTACTTACCCGGACTGCAGAGTGTCGCTGCTTGGCAAGCCATGCAGTAGATGACCTCTGGAAGATCTTGGACTTCTGGCAACACCATAGGAATATTGGACTCCAACATATGACAAAGCTTTTGAGACACCAGGAACAGCAGCCGTCCCGTCTCTTCGTTGTAGTGGGATTCATAGAAGTAACTTAGCCGAATCGGAGGGGGGGGGGAAAGGAAGGAGTTGAGCAGCAGAAGACAAGAGGCAACGGATGGAAACTGATCAAGGAGACAAGCAACCTAGAACTAAGGAGGAATTTCCTAACAGTGAGGACAATTAACCAACGGAACGGCTTATCTCCAGAAGTTCTGGGTGCTCCATCACTGGAGATCTTCTAGAAGAAATTGGGCTGCCATTTGTCTTAGACGGTCTCCTGCTCGAGTAGGGGGTTCAACTAGAAGACCTCCAAGGTCTAAACCAGTGGACCGGCTTGCCTCCAGAAGCTGTGGGTGCTCCACCACAGGAGGCTTTTAACAGACTTTATCTGAAATGGTAGAGGGTTTCCTACTTGACCAGGAGGCTGGACTAGAAGACCTCCAAGCTCCCTTCCAACTCTGCTATTCTATGTTCTAAATCCCAGGTCCATCAAGACGATTAACGATAAGCAAACATCCACGTCAGGGTTCCAAACAGCATCCAAAACTAAATCAGAATCCGAGGCAAAGGATTCCTCAAAGTCCCAATTTATGAAGAGAGCCAAGTTGGCACATCTGGGAAAACCCGAATCTGAAAGCTTCCCGGTTTTCTCCACCCAGTTGAAAGTTCAAGATCTTGCCCCCCACACACCCACAAATCCATCCCATGGTCTGTTCTCCCACTGCCACGCTGGCAGCTTCCACCCATCCAGTTCCGGTCAGGTGCAGAGGCAAAGGATGACCTTGGCTTTCTAGA